AAAAAAAAAAAGACTTCAAAATTCTGTATCAGACATGGTTTTTTTTTTTGTTTTCTGATATTCACCCAGGTTTTCTGAGAAATGATTAACAACAATGAAGTGTATGTATTAGGAGCCAGAGGACTGTAGCTCAGTGGTAACAGAACTCCCCACCTAGCATTCATGAAGCCCTTGGTTCAATAATCCTCAGCACATACCAAAAAGAATAGGTTTTAGAAACACAAATGATGTATTCTAATATACACAGTCAGCAAAATGATTAACACAATCAAGTTATGTATTTACGTATTTTATCACAGAGTATTCCATTTTTGTCTTTTGTGAAACGAATGTTTTAAGATCTACTCTGTTAACAAGATTTAAAAATATAACGACATTAACTACAGCCATGTTATGCCTAGTCTCTACAGAACATATGCTTCCTGCATAACATCATTCATTCTTAGGAGCCAGAGATATAAAGAAAGGGTCTTGCCACATATATCTGGCTGGCCTGGAACATGCTATGTATACAAAGCCAGTTTCAAATTTGCAGTGATCCTCCTGCCTCTGCTGAGTTCTGGGATTATAGCTCGCTCGCTCGCTCTCTCTCTCTCTCTCTCTCTCTCTCTCTCTCTCTCTCTCTCTCACACACACACACACACACACACACACCACCCTTCTTCTAAAGACAGGGTCTTTCTGTGTAGTTCTAAGGCCTCAAGCCAGCAATCTTGCTTCCTCAGTTTTCCTAATGCTAGGAATACAGGCACACCACAAGCACCTAATTCATTCTTATAATTATTTCACACCAAATACCCTTAAAGATTTTAAAGGCGATCACCTACATCCAAACTCTAAAATGAAAGAATTACTTAACTCACTGGAACATTCAATCTGAAAAACACAGAAAGGCTGAGTACTTTATTCTAACTACCTGCTCGCTGATTCCTGTCCCTCCATACACACAGACCACTCTGAGTCCCAAGGTCTTCGAAAACTTCTTACATTCCTTAGTGATTTGTAAAGCCAGTTCTCGAGTTGGAGTCATGATGACAGCTGAAAAGATAAACATGTCAAAGCCTAACCCAAAAACCCTTTAGAAGACACTTTAAAACGCTAAAGTTGACCTCTGCAGGACGGCTTGTCTCAGTCAAATTTGTTTGTCTTTATGGATGTCTGAAAATTGTATTTCAAAAACTTAGTAATGGCAGAAACCAAGGTAAAGGGCAAATAGACTCAGAGTTCAACACCATACATAACCTCAGAAAAACCCTGGAACAGAACAGTTTCCAACAGCAAACCCCAGGACAAAGGGAATCAAGTGACCGCTGTGGTGCAGAGGCCACACAGCTGCTTCCCAGGAGCACTTCACTCTGAGAGCCACAGACAGTACACCGTGCCTGTATCTGCACAAAAAGAACTGAATAGTTTCCCTAATCAAATATTCAAACATGAACTTCGAAAATAAGAAGTCTGAATTTGAAGACTTACTCATATATGAAATACTGGCACTATCACCTTAAAAGACTCCTAGAAATTACATTTCTCTTTCTCCTATACTGAGTTTATAATGCGCTGATACTGGGCTGAGAACACACCTCAACATAAATAAAGAGATGCATGAGGGTATACCTGCCAGGTCAGAGCTTTAAAACTGAGCTGTGCCAGCCTTATTTTTATACTTCCCAGATGTCACTCCAGAGCTCTGAAGATTCTCAATCCACCTGCTGATAAGGGGAAACCAGCCCCTAACTGCCATATTGATAAAGGAAATGCATATAAAGACATCTTTATCATCCTAAGTAATAACTTCAAGAATCAGGTCTTTCTCATGTTACAACAAGCACATCTAAGAATCCCATGGTGAGAAGACTTGTACCTATTGGCCCCTCTCCTTCTTCTAATGATCTCTGATCCATGATGTGTCTAAACATGGGCAAAAGAAAGGCAATGGTTTTTCCACTTCCTGTCTTGGCAATGCCAATCAAATCTCGTCCAGACATTATAGCAGGAATTGCTTGAGTCTGGATTGGTGTGGGCTTCTCATAGCCATGCCTTAAAAAGAAACAAAAAGAACACAATATAAGAATCATGAGCATTGGCCGGGCGGTGGTGGCTCACGCCTTTAATCCCAGCACTTGGGAGGCAGAGGCAGGCGGATCTCTGTGAGTTCGAGGCCAGCCTGGGCTACCAAGTGAGTTCCAGGAAAGGCGCAAAGCTCCACAGAGAAACCCTGTCTCGAGAAAAAAAAAAAAAAAAAAAAAAAACCAGAATCATGAGCATTAAGTCCCCTCAGGGGACCTCCAACATCACCTCTTCTAAATGTGATATATCCACCTGATAAAATATTACTGGGTGGAGAGCAGAAAAAGCCAAGGGCTGGGCTAGCAGATGGCTTAGTGAGTACTTGCATACAGGCCAGATAACCTGAGTAGACACCTGGAACCCACAAGGTGGTAAGATGAATTAGACTCCCCAGAGTTAGCCTCTGACCTCCATCCACACACAGGCCATGGTGCATGTGCTCAAGCAAGCATGCATGCAGGCACAAAATAAAATGCATGGAATAAACAAATGAAAAAAAAATATTTAAAAGCCCAGCATGGTGGTACACACCTTTAATCGCAGCACTGAGGCGGCAGAGGCAGAGCATCTGTGAGTTCCAGGCCAGCCTGGTCTACACAGTGAGTTCAAGAGCAGCCAGGGCTACATAGACTATCTTGGGGGGGGGGGGGGGGAGCATAAACAAACATTTTTAAAGTAAATAAATGGTTTTTTAAAAATTGACAATGAAAAGAATGAAGCACTAAGAAATTCCACAACGTGGACCTCTGAAAACAGTGATTTTACCAAGAGATAAAAAGTAGTCAGAGAAGAGGACACGTTATATAATTCTACCTGGATACTGTCCAGTGGGGCTGAACTACAGACATGGAAAGTGCACTTCTGGTTGCCCAGGGTGGAGGAGATAGGAGAGGACTGATAAAGGACAGGGGAGTCTACAGAGTGATGAAAATGTTCTACAATAGATAGTTGCACAAACCCATGAATATACCACTGGATTGTATACTCCAAATGGTCAACTCCACATTTACATTATAGTTCATTAAAAACATTCACAAATTCCTTAAAAAAGGATTGGGACTAAGATGCAGCTCAGTGGTGGGATACTTTCCTAGCATGCTCAACTACCTAGGATGGGTCCCTTCACCTAAGAAAACAATTTTTAGTTATGCATATAATTAAAATCTAGAGGTATTTGTGCGAAAGGGCTAGCAGGACACTGAAAAATGTACATAACCATCAATCACTTACTTTTTGAGGGAGTTTAATATCTTCATGGAAATTCCACACTGGACCCATGATTTAATTGGTTTGGGACAACCTTTTCCTTTAACTGTAATGCCCTCCATTTCCAATCGAAACACATTCACCTCTGGAAAACAAAGCCCCATCAGAAGCTCTTCTACTGGTTCCATCTACCTACGTTCACTAGGCAGGCAAAGGTCAAACATCCTCACCTCTCGTTAAGTGCTACCTAAGAAAACCCCATAGCTGAACACAGAAACACTAGAATTCAGAGAGACAGAGGAATTACTGCTGCAGTAAATCAAGAATAATGGGAAACACTCCAAGCACAACACTTTGGCTTTCATGTTTTCTTCAATTGGAACAGAATAAGGGATGCCTGGCAACACAACCACCTGCTGCCTGAGTCGCACAGATGCCTTTACTTAACCAACAGTGACTGACGGCTGTTAGTCACCAACTGTCTCTCACACCAAGGCCAACAGAAACATTTTGTTTGAATCTGACATGAACAGTACTTTCAGCTGTAAGAACATCAACTATATGAATAAATCCATTTTGTTCTTTTTAAAAATACTTCCTAAAGGGCTGGAGAGATGGCTCAGAGGTTAAGAGCACCGACTGCTCTCCCCAGAGGTCCTGAGTTCAATTCCCAGCAACCACATGGTGGCTCACAACCATCTGTAATGAGATCTGGCACCTCTTCTGTATACATAATAAATAAATAAATCTTAAAAAAAAAAAAAAAAAACAACTTCCTAAAATATCTCCCAACTCCCAGGCCTACATACACTGCCCCTGAGGAGTAGAGGGCAACAAAGTCTACCACAAAATAACGAAGCAAACAGAAGCAGCTTACCCTCCTGAGACATTTTTGCTAGTTCTGGAACTTCAACATAAAAATTTTTTCTGAATGGCTCATATTCAATTTTTCCATGATCAACTGGTTCTAGAAGTTTTCTCTGTTTTGTCTGGTAGCCTGTGAGGGCCGTCTGAAGATCAACTTCCTCCTCCTCTGAAGAATACTTAAATTTCCAGGAAGAAAAGCAAAGTCATTATTCATTTCCCCTGCCAGAGGACAAGAATCCTGGCTGTCAAAGTCCCCCCCTCTTAGAGCGCCCCAACTCAGGAACCGCTCGGCGGTACTTCGCATGCAATCTATGACACACTGATCCATGAAGCTTCCCTGCCACTCCAGGGAAATTAAGATTGCACAATCTAAAAATCTCAAGTAGGAATGTCCATGACTTTGAACATAAATAAATCAACGCCTTAAAAAATGTTCAACTTAGTAAGATTGCATTACCTAAAAATCTCAAGTAAGAATGTCCATAATTTTGAACATAGATAAATCAATGTCTTAAAATTTTTTCAACTTAATTTCTCTTTTTCTTTATTCAAAGTTTTAATAGTAACACAAACCTCATATGCCTCTCAGAAATATCATGAAAGTTTTGCTATTGTTTTCATTATCTAGACCTTTACACTATATAATGGGAAGAAATGTCACTCATTTTATTGTTTCCCTTTTCTTGGTGTTGTGTGCCTGAGATGAGCCGATGAAGCAGAATAGAAAAGTAGGACACAACACAGTCACACTACTATTATACCACGGAGAGGAGCAAGAATTTGCCCCAATAACGGTTCGTGTGACTGACTACAAAACATGCCAGCATCAATGCTTTGCAATAAATGCTCCTAAGACACGATCATAAACCAAGTCCAAATGAAGACTCACCTCCATGGCATCCTGGTCATTCTCCATCAGCTCTCCCTTCTTCTTATCAGCATCTACTACTGCTTTTTTGGTTGTTACCACAGTAACAACTTTTGTGACTGTTGGCCCAGACTTCTAAAATAAAACAAAAAGTATTAAAATATTGTGCAGAGGTAAAACAAAAAACAAAGTTTAAAATATGTGGACACCAGATAAAAGACGACGTTAAATCCCACAAAATGAAATTGAAACTAACAAACCGGTTTAAGTTTTAGAAGACCAAGAAAGCTTCGCTTTTGTTTTGTGTGAACTTTTCAATGTGTCTGCACAAGAGTTCACAGATACACTCACATACACAGAACAGACTGCATAACATGTAAGTTTATACAACAATTTGTTTGTTTTCGTTTTTTTGAGACAGGGTTTCTCTGTGTAGCCCCGGTTGTCTTGGAACTCCCTTTGTAGCCCAGGCTGGCCTCGAACTCACACAGATCTGCCTGCCTCTAACTTCCAAGTGCTGCGATTAAAGCAGTGTGACCCCACCCCCAGCAATACAGCCTACTTTTTCACTTCGTGATCACTTAACATAAAAACCCCCCAACTTCTTTTTTGTTGTTGTTTCTTTTTCAAGACAGGGTTTTTCTGTGTAGTCCTGGCTGTCCTGGAACTCACTATATAGACCAGGCTGCCCTCGAACTTGCAGAGATCCGCCTGCCTCTGCGTATGCCTCCCGAGTGAGCGCTGGGACCCCACTAATTTCTTAGAGCTGAGGTCAACAGAGCAACAAGAGTGACAAAGGCCGGCTCTCCAGGCAGCTAGCCACACACCTTTTCATTTCCTGCGCCGCCTTTCACGCTCCGCATGTTAAACTTCTTCACTTCTTCTTTCACTTCTTCCATGTAGGCATCTAGTGGGTCCAACTCCTCACCCTCCATTTCATTCCCTTCCTTTTCAGCTTCTGCAGGGTCGTCTTCATCGTCTAAAAGAGCACAATGTATCTTCTTTGTCCACAGGAAATAGAGGCCAGTGAGATGCTCAGGGGGTAAAGGCTCTTGCTGCACAAGCCTGTCAACCAGGTCAACCCCACACCCCACACTCCTGGAACCTGTCCTCTGACCTCTGCATGTGTGTGTGTGAGCATGGGAATGCAGTCACACACAAGCACACCAAATAATTTTACAATTATTTTTTTAAAGAAAAGACATGCCATATCCATTCTATGACTTCCATCAATTTTTTTCCCCCACTGTGCAAACGTCCCTCTTCTGGGTTATAATCCGCTCCTAGGTACAGCCCAAGTGCTCACACGTGGAAGGTCTGACATTTCTAATAATGCATGAATTACTTTAAGTAGCAATGAGCAAAAAAATACTAATAAATCACTTAAGAGGAGGAAATGAAAACCAAAAAATAAGTAAATAAATAAGCCAGGAGGTGGTGCATGCTTTTAATCCCAGCACTTGGGAAGCAGAGGCAGGTAGATCTCTGTGAGTTCAAGGCCAGCCTGGTCTACAGAGCGAGATCCAGGACAGCTAGGGCTACACAGAGAAACCCTGTCTAGAAAAAAAGAAAAAAAAAGCAAAAACAACCACCAAGAAACAAAACAAGAGGGGTAAAAGGGTAATCATACTTAAATTTATTTCTAGAGCTGGGGACACATGCAGCCCAGCAGGAGTGGCTTTTCTAGTATGCACTAGGCCCTGGGCCAGATTTTCCAACAACCAAATAAACAAAAACACCACAGTTCTAGATTTTATAGTGAACACTAAAATCTCGGCTAAAAATGACATCTGTTTCTCTCATGCTTACTCATCACTCTTCCACTCCCCACCCCCACTGTGCACACACGTGTATGGTGGACACAAGTCAACGTAGGCTACCATTAGTCAGGTGCTCTCCACCTCAGTGTTTTAAGGCAAAGTGTCTCTGTTTCACTTGGACTGGAATTCACCAACTAGGATAGGCAGGCTGGACACTGAGTCCACAGGATGTACCTCTTTCTCCCTCCCCAGAGCGGGGTGACAGGGGCACCATTAGGCTTTTTCCACATGGGTTAAGAAATGAAACTCAACTCAGGTCTTCATGCTTGCACAGGAGAGAACTTTACCAACAATAGTAATTTCTCCCTAGATTTTTAACTATTCTTACCTTCAATATCTTCCAGTGACAGAAAAACATTGATCACGCTTAACTCAAGAAAATCTACTCTTCCCATCATGACCACTGATAAACAGAAACTTTGAGTTTGGAACTATGGTAGTTTGAAAGTAACTGCCCCATAAGCTCATATGGAGTGGCATAATTTGGAGGTGTGGCCTTGATGGAGGAAGTGTGTCACGGTGGGGGTGGGCTTTGAGGTCTCATACAGGCTCAAGCCACACCCAGTGAAACAGACCACTTCCTGTTGCCTAAAGATCATGATTTTGTAACTCCCAGCTCCTTCTCTAGTACCATGACAGCCATGATGATAATGGACTAAACCTCTGAAAATCTAAGTTACCCCAACTAAATGTTTTCCTTTTAAGCGTTGCCACGGAAGGCAGAGGCAGGTGGATCTCTGTGAGTTCAAGGCCAGCCGGATCTACAGAGTGAGATCCAGGACAGTCACCAAAACTACACAGAGAAACCCTCTCAAAACCACCCCCCCCCCAAAAAAAAAAGAGTTGCCGTGGTCATGGTGTCTCTTCACAGCAATAGAAATCCTAACTGAGAAAGGAACTGTCACAGAAGAAAAGGGATCAAAACTCTGTTTTCCGTGAGATACCACAGTCTCCACTTACTAAAATCAGAAATGGGATGGGCTGGAGGGTAAGGCAGTGCTCTGATGGCATGTGCTCAGCCCTGGGTTCAAGGCTCAGAAGCACAACATGAGGCAGGAGGAAAGTATTTCTCTCCTAAATCATGAACAGTGAGGGATGTGTTTCTTTCTTTAAAGATAAACGTGTATGTGCAGATCAGAAGAGGGGGCTGACTGCCTGGAGCTGGAATTCTGGATGATGGGGAACCACCAGGGGGCGCTGACTCTCATGAACAGTTACAGGGGCAGCAAATGCACTAGCTCTGTCTACTAACTCCGAGAGTGCACAACTGTGTGCTCTGAGTCAGACCAGCCTCCACTGAAGGAGGCCTTTGACAGTGGCCAGGCACAGTGCCTTACCCTACAGTCCCAACTACTCAGGGTTAAGGGAAGAGTCACTTGAGTGCAGAAACTCCAGGCAAGCTTAGACAGCACAGTGAGACCCTGTATCTAAAACTACAAGAATCTTAGCATGAATCCAGCAAATCTACTTCTAAGTACATAGATTTACCCAAAAAACAAAACCAAAAACAAAAAAGGACAAGTTGTAAACAGAAGCATTAGTCACAATAAAAAACGGATGGCAGAAACAACTCAAATAGCTAATAGCAAGTGAGTAGATGATAAAACATGGCATAAACTGGGCACAGCAGCACAAGCCATAATCCCGATGTTTGGGAGACTGGAGTAGGAAAATCACAAACTCAAGGTCTGCCTAGGTTAAAAAAAGGAACCCTGTCTTAAACAGGAAAACAAAGCATTTCCAGGCATAATGGCCCATGCCTTTAATTCCAGCACTTGGGAGGCCAAGTTCAGTCATGTACATATACTGGGTTATTACTCAGCCATGTAAAAGAAAGTAGAGCATGCTACAATATGAATGAGCCTTCAAGAAAGCATGCTCAACTAAACAGCCAGACACAAGAAGGCACCAACAGTATGGCTGCAATGTGAGGAACACAGGCAGATTCTCCGAGACAGAAAGCTGTGTGAGGTACAAGGGCTGGTGGAGGCAGACAGTGAGCTCGTCAATGGGTGAAGTTTCCACCTGGGATGAAGAAAGCTCTGGAAAGGACAGTGGTGAAGAACCACACTTCACATTCTAGGCCTGAACTGGTTCAAGTGCAACTAGGGAGTAGCTCAGTGCTGGAGCATCTGATCAACACGCCCAAAGCGTTGACCCTCAGTTCAACAGGGGGTACGGGCGAAAATGCTAAAAATGTAAATACAACATTCTGTTTACTCGCCACAATGTTTTAAAAGTGTCCCCCACATCCAAACATACCATCGTCATCTTCTAAACTCCACTTTTTCCCTTGTTTCATTTCTTCAATCTCCTTTTTCAGTTCCCCTATGTTTTCCATGGCCTTTTTACGCTGTTCTTCTCGCCATTTTTCAACTCTTTCTTTTCGTTTTCTCATTTCTTCCTCCAGTTTGTTCTGGTCAAAGTTCTTTGGAGAGGGAAAGAAAAAAGAGGGAAAATCAAAATCAGAATTAGCAAGTATACTCCACATGTGCTTCTAAATAAGTTCTCCAAAATACTCAAAAAGAAAAATGGATGTGTGTACACATTCCTAAATGCAAATCAGATTTAGTAGTCACCCATCTTTATACCATGCTCCTGTTCTATTAGGGCAAGGCCCGCAGGATGGCTCAGAGGACAAAGGCACTTGCGCCCAAAAACGATCATCAGTTCAATCCCCATAACTCACATAGGGGAAGTAAAGCACTAACTCTTGAAGTTAGCTAGACTTGTGTCATGGCACGCCATGTGTGTAAGCCCCACAAAACGTGATATAATTTAAGACATATATATTTGGAATCACAGAGCCACACTTGGTCATGAGCACCTGGAGGCTAGGGCTAGCTCCAGGCCACCCTGAGCTATATACAGCAAGACTCTGAGAAAGAAACACAGTGAGGAAAGGAGGGCTGGAAAGAGAGGAAGGAAGGGTCAGAACACAAAGCACTTTTAGTGAAGAAACCCGGAAGGTGGGGCTGGGGAATTGGCTCAGCGGTTAAGAACGCTGGCTGCTCTTCCAGGGGACTTGTTTGATTCCCAGCATCCACATAGTGACTCATAACCATCTGTTAACTCCAGTCCCTGGCACTCTATTCTGGCCTCTGCAGGCACAAGAGGCACACAGACATACACATAAAATAATCCAAAATTAAAAAAAATAATCCGCATGCTGTGGAATAATCTTTTTGTATTCTGTAAAGATGTGTGTTGCCAGGCGGTGGTGGCACACGCCTTTAATCCCAGCACTCGGGAGGCAGAGGCAGTCAGATCTCTGTGAGTTCGAGGCCAGCCTGGTCTATAGAGTGAGATTCAGGACAGGCACCAAAACTACACAGAGAAACCCTGTCTCAAAAAAAAAAAAAATGTATCTCAGCCTAAGAGGCCTTCTGATCAGTTTAATAAAGATCTGAAAAACCAATGTGTAGGCAGGAAAAAATAAGTGGGACTTCCAGAGAGAGACAGAGGACTCTGGGAAGAAAGGAGGCGGGACGCCAGTGAGACACTGAAGAAGTCAGGCATACTATACAGAGGAGAGGTAACCAAGCCAGGTGACAGAACACAAATTTGAGTTATAAGAGCTAGCTGGGAAAAAACCTGAGCTAAGGCCAGGCTTTCATAATTAATAAGTCTCAATGTTGTTGTGAGCTGGTGGCCCAAACAAAGTCCGACTACACCCATACCATTATCAATTATGTCCTATTAGATTGACGAAAATAAATTTTGACACCCCCACGTTGGCAAACAAGGAAGGAAGAAAAGTGCACCACTGTATGCCTTAACCCTTTTCATTTATTTACACATCATGTCTGTGGGGTGCGTAGGTCACAGCATGAGTGTACAGTCAAAAGGAAACATGATATCTGCTCTCTTCTTCCCACCTTCTCACGGGTTCTTTGTTCAGACTCAGGCCCCAGGCTTCTGCACTAACTGCTCTCCAGCTAAACCACTGTGTGGTCCTAGATGCCTACATTCTTTTTCTTTTTCTTTTTCATTTTTTTTGTTTTGTTTTGTTTTGTTTTTTTTGGTTTTTCAAGACAGGGTTTCTCTGCGTACTTTTGGTGCCTGTCCTGGATCTCACTCTGTAGACCAGGCTGGCCTCAAACTCACAGACATCCACCTGCCTCTGGCTCCGGAGTGCTAGGATTAAAGGTGGGTGCCACTGCTGCCGGTGATGCGTAAATTTTTTTTTTTTTGATGTGTAAAATTCTTGAGTCTAAATTTGTATATACTTTTTAGGACAATCCGATACTATTTACATGGATCGGTCATACTTTCTAATTAAAAACCGATAACATAAATATGCAATGTATTTCAGAGAGATTCAAGACCTTTATCTTCCTGTTTATTTTATATTAGTTATAAATTACTTAAAAGTAAAAATAAAGATAAAGAGTATCATGAAGAAATAATTATTGCGGTGGGGGGGTGCATGCCTTTAATCCAAGGACTCAGGAGGCAGAGGCAGGCAGGCAGGCAGATCTCTGTGAGTTGTGAGTTCAGGGCCAGCCTGGTCTACAGGCTATCGAGGACAGCCAGGGCTGCACGGTCTCAAAACACCAAAAGAGAAAAGCAAGAATTCTGTTGTGAAGACAAGACTGCCATTCCAGAACTGTCTGGAGCCGAACCTACCCCGGCGTCCTTCTCCTTCTCGTCCTCCTTGTCGTCTTTGTCTTTCTTCTTCTCTTTGGAGCCATCCCCACCTTCCGCCTTCTCTTTGGACCTGGACCTGCCAGAGAACACGAGAGGGAGACACTGTCACTGGAGATCCAGGAATCACTTCTCCCTCCCTTATGACAGTTACTGAGTAATGTATGTGCGTGTGACAACACCTGTGGTCAGGGAACAATGTGCAGGAGTCGGGTCTCTCCTACACTGGGAACCAGGGTCAGTCAGCTCGGGCCTCCGCAGCAAGCACCTTTACCACTGAGCCATCTCAAGGTCCTAGGATCACATTTTAGACTACTTGACCGACTGGATCTCATTCTCTTATTTCTTCAATAATCAGCACATGTCATATTCCAATAATAAATACCTGGACTATGAGAAAGTAAATCTTTTAGCACTAATTCAAAACATTACTAAATATTTGGAAATTTGTCTAAGACAAACAATTATGAAATCTAGACAGGATTGTAAAATTTTAATAATTCATGTCTGTATAATACTAAAATTACAATGGGCTTACAATTTGACTTATGCCTCTAATAACAAAATGATCTAATTTTAATGATATAAAATTAGTCAAGGTCAGACTAGAGAGTTGGCTCAGCTGTTAGGTGCACTGCTGCTCTTGAAGAGACCCAAGTTCAGTTCCCAGCACCCACTCCATGCGTACAACCACTGCTAACACCAGCTGCAGGGGATCTCTTCTGGCCTCTCGAGGTTCCATATGTATTCACTCTCTCCTCTTCCGTTCATGACTGCTGTTTCTGGTGATTTCTAGACATCCTTTCAGATTTAACAAAGATACTCAGAGATGAAAAAGATGGTCTCCAAATACAAACTCCATAAGAATTACCAGCTAACTTTTTCCTGCCATTGCATTTGCTCTTTAGTCTGCCCAGGACTGCTTTCTATGAACACAGTGAAGGTGGTCCTGTCTTAGAGTAACAAATGTCCCTAGGACCTTTATCTTCAGAACTTCGCCACACACTGCAGTGTCACCTGTCACTTACACAGCTGCCCACGGGCTCTCTATGTTCTTTCATGGGTCTATTTACCCATCTCTAAGCAGACACCCAACACTGTCCGAGACTTTGTAAGCGACTTTCTGAGACTGCGACTTTATGACATGTCTTTATGGGAATGGCACAGGGAGTCTTCAATCTTGTTTTTAGGATTATGTCCTTTGTATTTCTAATGTGTGTTCATGAGTGTAGGGTGTGTGTACCCATGTGTTCATGTGTGTGCAAGCATGTGTAGTAGAGTCCCAAGGACAATCGGGGGTAGCATTCCTTGGGAGCCGTTGACCTTACTTGTTGAGACAAGGCTAGGCTGGCTGGCCAGCAAGACCCACTGCTAAGCCTGTGTCCTCCCCAGCTCTGGGATGACAAGTGCACACCCTGGCCTAGCTTTATTAACCTGGGTGCTTGGGGCTGAGCTAACCTGGGCCATCCATCACTCCTCAGCCCTATCGCTAGCTAATCTTACGATCAGTTTGTAAAATATCCTTCTATTCATCTCTGCTAAGAAGTTCAAAAGCACCGATATATTAAATTAGTAAAATGGGTTGGGGAGACAGCTCAGGAGGTAAACTGACTGCTGCACAGGCCTGAGAACCTGAGTACGGAGCCACAGCCCCAGGTGAAAGCTGGGCATGACATTAGTTTCCGGGAATTTACTGGAAACATCCAGGCCACATTCAGGAAGATACTCTCTTAAAAAATAAGATGGAAGACTGGAGAGATGGCTCAGAGGTTAAGAATACTGGCTACTCTTCCAGAGGTCATGAGTTCAATTCCCAGCATCCACATGGTGGCTCACAACAATCTATAATGAGATCTGGTGTCCTCTTATGACATGCAGGGACATATGCAGACGGGATACTGTATAATCACATAAATAAGTCTTTAAAAAAAAGATATAAGCCGGGAGGTGGTGGCGCACGCCTTTAATCCCAGCACTCGGGAGGCAGAGGCAGGCGGATCTCTGTGAGTTCGAGGCCAGCCTGGGCTACCAAGTGAGTTCCA